ACAACCCTAAAAGTAACCTAAAGGCATTTGAAAGGTTGTAACTCCCAATTACATGATGGTCATAACATCCACTAGCTAAAATGTAACTTAAAACACATAAATGAAATGTTTAAAACTGAAAATATAATAAAAGAGGTTTAAATCCGAGAATTGAAGTCTTGGTCACCCTTCAAAGTCTTTGTAACCTCCCAATTATAAATGAAGCTTCACTTGAAGTAGTTTGAAGTGTAGTTCCATTAATTGATGGATAACTTGCAATAAATGAAGCTTGAGATGCACTTAAGTTCATTTAATGCAACTTGAGTTCCTTGAATTGAACTTGGCTTTATTGAATGCAACTTGAGTTAAACTCCACTTCAACTTTAGCTCCTTTAAATGAACTTAGAGTTCATTTAATGCAACGCCTCCCTTAAGCTCTACTTGGAAGATATTGACTTGAAAAGTTCCATCTCTCTCTTGATCATCCCTAGCCGAGCTCACTAAGTATTGAACATGAGAAAGTAAAGCTTGTTGTAGCTTCTTGGCTCTTGATCTCGTTATGGGTCCTTGAGGAATGACAATGGTGCTTCCTTGGTTCACATCACAAAGTGAGCCGTATCTATGGTTATTCCCGAGATATTATCCACTTGTCGAGGGTACATCAAATATATACTCAGTATATATACTATCAAGGTTACATGGTAATATTCTTGGATGTTTAGTTTATTGGATTTGGACAATGTAAATGTTATAAATTCAACAACAAATTGATTGAATATAACTTTATTGAATATAAATTTGTTTTTACATAAATACAAACTACGAGTTTAGGATAACACATCCAACAAACTCCCACTTGAACTAAACTCTAGTGGGATGTACATCATCATAAAACAAAGGGAAAATACAATAAATAAGGGCAAACACTACCCATTACATTTCTCCCATTGGCCATAGACTAATCGTACAATTCTCGTTGTTAAGAAACCCTTGAGAGTTGGATCTAAGAACCTTGCTAACGAACAAGACCCATAGAACTCAATTTCAAAAACCCCGAAAACAAGTATGGAATCAAGCCAAGGAAAAGTTTAAGAACGGATTACCCTGATGATCAATATCAATAGTAGAGAAAACTCGTTTCTAAACTCGTGATTCAAATCACTCCACAAGGGGTATGATCAACACCGCTTGAATGACCCTAACATGCAAATTCTAAAGACACAAGAAATTGCACAAGAAATGGGAGATGAAGCTCTCAACCAAGCTAATGAGAAAACTCACTTTTCATTAAACTTCAAATTGTGTTTACAACAAGACATCTCAAGGCTATATATAACCATCCTAGCAAGCCATATGAAAAGTCTTAAGCAAATGAAAAGACTTGTAACTTACAAGAAATGAAAAGACATAACTTACAAGAAATGAAAAGGCTTGGAAATGAAAAGACATAACTTCAATAAATGGAAAGACAAGCAAATGAAAAGGTTAAGAACATGGAAAGCCAACCAAAATAAGTGCAATCCCATCCATAATGAGGGATGTGAGTGTTTGACTTGGTTTTTGAATTGAATGAGTTGACTTTGACTTGTCTTGATGAAGTTGACTTTGACCTTGACCAAGTGGACTTTGACTTGTCTTAAAAACACTTAGAAATGCATAACTTGCACCAAATTGTAGTGAATTGTTCCAACATCTTGCACGTCTTCCTTTAATTCTCCTGTCGAGTTTACGAACGCTTGGACATGAAGTAGTAACACTTGTTGAAGTTTTCGAGCTCTTGATCTTGTAATCGGTCCATATGGCATGACAAAGGAAGCTCCTTGGTTCATATCACTCGTACAGCAGCGCCATGGCGCTGCGGAAAAGAATCATCGAGCGCTGCGGCGCTGTGTGAGTTTTATGTCCTAAAACTCATAGTTTGAAAATGATAGATATACTTTTATCATTCAATAAAGTTGTTATTGAAGGTTTTAATCAATTAGTAGTTATTGATCCAATAAAATGTTCTTACTATATCTAAATCCAATAAAATAAAGGATCCTAGACTGTTACCTGAGACTCAAACTCTATGTAAGAGACATAAATATGGATCAAGTTTGAGTTAACAGTCTAAATGGT